CGTTGTCAGTATGACTTGAAAATATTTACCGAACAGCTATTAATATATTTTGGTGTATTATATTTTTGGGATACACATGTAAAGTCAACATTAAAAAGATGAGATGACCATGAATACTACGCACATCCAACAATGTCTCCAATTATTTTTTTCTTTCTGGCTTTTTAAAATCATCAGATGGACTCAGTCTGCATCTTAATGTGCAAATAGACATTTTCAAAATAAAAAGACATTTCAAACATGCTCAACAATGTTCAAATAAGGACATGAAATCATTTGTCCATCAGTTTTACCTCAATATATAAATGATATACCCAAACCTTGAAAAGACTTATAAGTACATACAAATATCTGAGTAAAAGGACGACTTGTGTTCCCAACTTGATGTATGAAGCTGAATTTGGCAGAACTGTGTCAACAGTATTTGTGAACAGCTTCTATCCAAGCAACTGTCGACGAGTCACATAAATCATGTTTTCATTACTTGTCTCTTTATAACTTTGTCAGGGACAGGATAAGCAACTAAGTTCGTTTTTTATAGGATCATTTCCGAGCAAACAACAGGGTGAAGGACACACTGAGAAATCATTAACCCATTTTATGTTTGGCCTGAACATCCAAGGCCATTGACCTTGAAAGTCTGGAAAAGGGCAAAGTATTTGTCCCACTCATATTTTTTTCATTCCTTTTCTTGAGAAGTCACTTATGTAATAGTAGGGGCGTAAGCAAGTGGGCCTCTATTGATACCATTTAATTTATCTTTTACTGGTCTTACCCAGCTCCAGGTCTCTGATGCCCATGTAGCTCTCCAGCAGGTCATCCACTTTCTTGGTAGCCTGTTCCTCAAACTCATTTTGCTGGCAGCATACATAGGAAAAATACAAAGGTTTCACTGGAAGTGTTCACACTCTAAATATGGTGATGGAAACTCTGAGATGGAAAACTTTGTGAAGACATCTTCTCATGATAAAACATTCAAGGCTTATCTTTGGGTATTGTTTATGACTTGGCTTGTGTTGTATAAATATATTAAACTTCATAGATAGTGAATTTATACTAATTTGAACATGAGTGTCCCTGATACATGTTAACTGTTGACTTTAAAATGACCATTTTAAAAAGGTCACTCCTGACAATCGTTGTTCAACAAGCAGTAACTGATACTGTGTGACTGTGTGACTGGAGTCAAGTGGCTGTGTGGAGTCTGAATTGTGTCATTGTGGAATTGTGTCGGTATCTCAAGGGCCTCAGGAAGTTCAGGCAGTCATGATCGAGCAGAGCGTGTGAAACTCACCACTTCCTGGACTGTAGCAGCTCCCTTAGAGCGAAGACGCAGCGTCTCTCTTCCATTCACCATCTTGCCCTCGTTTGATTTTGGTGCTCTGGTCCTCATTCCAATCATGTCTAACACACGAACAGGGTGACAGCATTTCATCATATTAAAAACACTTTTTCTTAGGAGTAGTATTTTTTGCGTATAGAAATCAATCTCTACACAGAATATTTCTTCCTTTGGAGATTTCACAAATGAAATGCAACACCACATTTTACATTCCTTTGCTCCATTCTTCAGTTTGTTCCTCTAAAAAGAGAAAAACATTCAGAATCGGAAAACTTTAATGATCTCCACAGGTTAAAGAAATGCTTGGTGACTTACTAATTTGCTAATTAGCAAATATTTGCGTGCTCAGACACTAAATTAGGAATTTGAACATGCTAAACTTTTCCTATTCCTGTTAAAAATGTGCATATGTCAGCACAGTAGCACGCAAACGCAAACAACAAGACTAACATGCGTATAGCTCTTCGTTCAATGACAAGTTCAGTGTTTCTCATGGAGTCATTTTGATCAAACACACCCTTGGGGTTTATACAATGCACATCTGTGTTCCAAAGAAAATTGAACCCTTTCCAGTTAAAGGTCAGAGGTCTGTTTGTGGTCAACATTCTAGAAACAATTACAGTCCTCAGTTTGTTTGTACATTATATGAATGGAATCATACAAGAAGGGTGATTCATACTGTTCTCAGTGGAAATGAAGTTAAACCCTTGGGACCTGCAAGTGTAATGTGCAGTAATCGCCACAAACACTGGAAAATGATGTGTTGTTATATTATGTTGAACTGTTAAGATTTTTTTATTTCTTTTATATAATTAGCATTATGTGTGTGTCTTTTGTGTCTTACATATTATTCACCAGTGTTTTTAATGTTTCTGTCTTTTTGGTTAAAAAGGGCTACTGTAGAAACATGGGTGTGCATCATGGTACGATAAGGGACCCACCCCTGATATAAAGGCGTCAATGTAATGTAATAAAAACACCATGTTTTGTAGTTAAGGTTGATTATACACTCATACAAACATAATAACATTATAGTAATCAATATTCAATTCTGATCCATCTGAACCGTAAACTGGACCTTTAAATCAGGAGTTGTCCAATACATGCCGTATGTATAGATGTGTATTCGTGTTCAGTTGATGGAGGCGGAAAAAAAATCTAATTGAATCTTGAAATGCAAAATGTGGATTACTCTCACTCAGTTCCCCACACATTATTCTCGTTGGCTGATATTTCTGATATTCAAAGCCTTAATGAAGTCTCAGCTCAGTTACATTCAGGATTGTAATTAGTGTCATAAATAATTTTACACATCAAATCTAATCCATTTTATTCAGATTTGGCAGCCAACCATTA